AACTCTGAGTAGGACAGGGAGGGGTTTGCCATCTAAAATGCAACAAAAAGTGGCCAAACTTAGAGAAACCTTAGAGTTAAAATTCCCAAATCCAAGCAGAATTCTAAGACAAACTCTTCTCTCCAGGCTTCTCAAGACACCCAGGGAGCAAAGCACCTTGATCCACTGTGCCACCCTGCACCCATGCCTCACCTCTGAAAGCCGCCCAGCAGAAACACCATGCTGCCTTAGGACTCCAGCAATGGCACCAGCAGGTGAGGTCTGAGTGGCCTCAGGTCCCTCCGGCCAGGCTCCCCCAGCTGTCAGCTGCCTGGGATGGGGTGGAGGCACCATGTGGGGTGTGGCCACTGTGGCCAAGTGCCATCTTAAGTCTCAAGAATCTCACCTGCTGGCTCCCAGTGTGGGCCACACACTTGCCCCTCACCTCAGTCAAAGGATTTAATTGTTCCATACGCAGGAAGGGCTGGCTCACCTCCTGGGCTAGAGTGGGAAGCTGAGCTCCTCTCTGGGCCTCTCCTCCTCCATCCCCAGGCAGACCCTGGCAGCCCAACTGGGTATCCAAAACGACCAGTCCCATCAAACCCACCCACCCTCAATACCTCTGGACATAGCCTGGTAAGCATAGAAGGACCAGCAAGGGCTCCCCTCCCACTGCTGAGGGTGAAAAGAGTTCACTTTTCAGAGTTAAAATTCCTGAAACTAGCTATACTCCCTAAGCAGATTTGTCTTCCTGTCTTCTATTAATGCCAGCTACATATTATCTTTATCCAGTCATACCCTGAACTCATACATCATCTCAAGCACTTATTTCCCATAACTCCTTGGCTGGAGTTTGAATTTGTGTACTTACAACATATATAATGTCATTTTCTTTTAGGCCAATCAGTAATAATGAGCTAAGATATAACCAATCAATAACCACTCAATACTCTGCTTCTGTACTTCTTGCTTGCAAGTATAAGCCTTAGAGTACCAAAGATCAGACTTTGGGGAGAACATGGCGGACAGATAGCAGCAACTAGGGAGGCTCTCTGAAAGACCCAACTTAGAATCCAGGAATGGTGCAGAGTGAGGAATCCTAAGCAAGAGAGGAGATATACCCTGCTGACCCAAGAACGAATTGGGCTGAGAGATACCAACTGGGAATGCAATCCTGGTGCTATAACAGGAACAGATAAGAAGCTGAAGCCCGTGCCATTGGAAACCACGATTTGGGTTTCCTGCCCCCACGGCTGCGTCTGAATTGGCTAGGCAGGGAGACAGACGCGTGAAAGTTCTGAGAACGGGAATGGGTGAACGGAGTTGAGAGCAGGACAGGCGGGGGGAGCCGAGAATCGACCTGCGGTGAGTGAGAGAAACTGGGACTCTTCCACGATCTAGGAGGCTCCAACAGAGGACATTCTGGGACCAGGCAGATTTGCCGGAACAGGGCGCTGTAGTGACTACAGCCACATATCCCCCTCTCAAGCGGAACTGGTGAGCAGTGACTAGCCTACATGACGCTGATGGCTAAGACCTAGTAGGCTAGCACGGTCCAGGTCCCAGCACCTGAAGGTGACCTGGAGGGGCGGGCCCCGCATAGGCTGCCTGGTCCTTAACTCCCTGGTGCACTGCGGTGGGTGGGAACACCTACCCAGCACAATTCAATCAGACTGTGGCCAACAGGGAAAGAAGCTGGGCCTCCTATATACACCTGCATATATAAGGAACAAAGAATATGGGAAGAGGGAGCAACAAGAAAGACCCCTCGGCCCCCAATCCTGAGAAACAGGCAATAGCAGACATGGCACCAATAGACATAAACCGCTATCTCCAGAGCCTCATAGATGAGTTCAGGAATGAAGTTATTAATGACCTGAAGCTAGAAATAAGCAGAATAGTTAGAGAAATGCTAAGCACCACCCAAGAAAAAACAGATGGTGAAATGGAAGAACAGAAAAAGAGGGGAGAATTGTTTGATGGAGAAAATAGAGAAAGTATAGAATATGTGAAACAGGTTCAAAGAGATTACCAGGAAACTAAAAACTCTATCAAAAACTGGCATAACAGCTTGAAAGAAACTAAGGACAGATTATCTGAACTGGAGGCCAGATTTGTAATATGGGAGCATGAAATGATAAACGTCTTAAAAATAACAAAGCAACAAACAGCAATAATACAAAGACTAGAAGATGATAAGAGGATCTATAACTTAAGAATTAAGAACATAAAAGAAGAAGTCAGGACACAAACAAATGAACTATAAAAGCTACTCGCAGAAATAATCCAGGAGAATTTTCCTAATTTAGCAAAAGGTAAAGATACTCAGATGTATGAAGCATTCAGGACCCCAGGCACCTGCAACCCAAACAGAGCTACACCCAGACATATAATAATCAAAGTGCCAGAAATCCAATATAAGAACAGAATATTAAAAGCCGTCAGAGACAAGAAACAGATCACTTACAAGGGAACACCCTTCAGAATTACAGCAGACTTCTTGGCACAAATCATCAAATCACAAAGAGCGTGGGGGGAAATAATTCAAGCTTTGAAAGATAATAATCTCCAGCCAAGATTGATATATCCGGCACAACTATACCTGGAAATCGATGGAAAAACAAGGTGCTTCCAGGATAAAGAGGAACTAGGGGAATATGCAACCACCAATTCAACTCTACAGAGAATACTGCAGGATATTCTAAAAGAGAAAAATACAAAGAATCCAGAAATAGTGGCAGAGAGGCCACAATGAATGGAGCAGAAAACAAAATGAAGAAAACAAACTGGCAACTAATGACAGAAAAAGAGTTCAAGAGAAATGAGCCAGAGAAGACTGGATGATAGGAACAGCTATTTTGGAGAAAATGACGTCATAGTAGGTAATGCTGATTTAGTATCATCTTGTTTTGAAGTCTCATCAAGCATTTGCTCTTTTGTCTCCATTGGTCTCAGCATGTTGTATCTTATTGGATTTTATTATATGTGATAGTATAAACAAAAACTTTTATAGACAAGGAGACTATACAGAAACCATTGTTCATTTTCTGTTAGTTGATTCTAAATACCCTGTAATACTGTCATTCTCTTGAATGGTTTACATTGTTTTGATATATTTGATGCTACAGTGTACGAAGTTATACTCAAAGATTTCAAGGAAAGAGACAATATGGTAACTACTTTTATGGCGGGATTATCTTGTGGTAAAACACTATTTCACTTAAATGGTTATGTTTTTTTCGGTGCTGTTTTGTTATTATGCCCTCTTTCATCTCAATCTCCATTTTATTATTTACTTTTTTATTTTTATCCTTTTAATTAAGGTAAAAATAAATAAATAGCAGGATATATTATAGTAACCCACTTCTATTTACTATTAACTTGATTTGAAGCCCTGTATAGCTCTCACCATCTTGTTTTGACTGATGTTCCTCTATTCTGTTTTGCTTGATAGTACCAGGTTTAAAAGTATAGGCAACAGCTGTGAAGATAGTGGGATTCATTATGACACCCATTCTCGTTGACTATTATCTACTTTTGAAGACCTGTAATGTCTCCAATGTTTTGGTTTTGTTGGTTTCGTTCTTTACTGTTTTGTTCAATTTTATTATAACTGATGATATAGGCAATTCTATTAGAGATAGCAAGAGGCATTATGGTAACCATTGTTGATCACCTTGTACTATGTTTTTACATTATCTATTATGTCCACCCTTTTGATTTGACCGACTCTGTTCTGTTATGTAACATTTGGTTTTACTCTCTTCCAAAAAAAGTAATAAGAACTGTGGGAGCAATAAAACCCAAAATGTGTAATAGTCATCATACAAAAGAGAGGAAAAGAAAGTGCTCTAAATGATATAACTGCATGTATATTTAAGTGTATAAGATAGACAATTATATTGCTCAGTTGTGTTGGATTATTGAACAGAACTGTTTGGTCTCATTGTTTGAATGTCCACTATATAAGCTTTAATTTTGTAACTTGCACAAATATTTCTAAGATGACAATATGTAATCCATTAACTAGTGATTTGCTAATGTTTATTTTTTTTTCTGAAATTCTGTATAACTTGTACCCTTTTTCTGCTTTTTTTTCTTTTTCTCCTTAAATAAAATTTTTTTTAAAAAGTACCAAAGATCAGGACCTAATACTTTGCTGATTGACTGAATCCCTCTCAGGCCCATCAGTGTAAAATAAATCTGCCTCCAGATCTGTGTACTGTTTACCGCAGCAAGGAGAGATGCAGGGTCTGACTCCCCTCCAGGGTTCAGCTGCAGACCTGACAGTTCCTGGACAAATGAGGAAGAAACAGGGTCAAATCTAGAAGTTTTTTCTTCTTTAAAAGTCTGCCTTATACCAGGAGAAAATCTGTCTTAAGTATTGGCAGCAAAAAGACTTCTGAGGAAGGAAAGGACGTTGTAGTAAGAAATAAATATTTATTTATAAATATAAATATTTACAAACATTTATTAGCAGATTTTAATCACATAAATGTTCATTTCTTTCCTTAGGAAATAATAGAATTTTGAAACAAACAAGCCCACACAGAAATCGTTGCCAAGGCTGACTACAGGAGTTGTGTTCACAGGGATGAGTTTCTTACAAATTAGTAAGAAAAGACCAATACCCAATAGAACCACAGGGGCTCCCGGCCTTCTCTGGCCAGCCCAGATTTGAACATCTGAAGACCTTGCCCCACAGAGCCGAGACAGTGCTGTTCTCTGCCCATCCAGGCCTGAATGGCCACCAGGGTGACCTCCTGCAGACATTCCTGTCAGTCCACACTGTTCAGTATCTATTCTGTTGCAATCCAAGCCCAACATGAACCCTATAACACACACAGGTGGGCTAGAAGAGAACACCAGGTGGCCACCCAATGCTACTGCCAGCAGGTACCCTAGACTGGTTATCAGGGAGCCCCACAACCATTCCAGCTTAGGGCCCAGGCCTCAAACAACTGCTCCTCTCCCTCATCCATCTAGCTGCCAGGGAGATGGAACCACTCTGCCTCCCTTACCCATACTCCCCAGTGATGCTGCCAGCTTCAACCTCTGAGCCCCAGAGCCAGTCTTTGAGCATGGAGCAGCCCTGGTGGTGGTGATGGTAGGGTAGTAATGGCTCAGCCAGGTGCTCATCCCACTATGCAGGGAGAAGAGACATTCGACATGCTCCCCCTTGAGGGCACCTCCCTGCTCCTCCTGCCCAGTGCACAAGCTCAGCCAGAAACATAATCGGTGTCACCAAGCAACTGCAACACCTTAGCCAGCCTATGGTCCAGAGGAGTGTGCCTATGAGGGCCAGAAACCAGTGTCTGCTTCCCAAGTTGAGGTCTCTGTTCCTGGACTGTCAGCAACGTGTGGGACCTGCATACCAGGAATGGGCCAGTGCTCTGTGCTCTGAGGGCAGATGAGGGCACCTTGTGATATGGAGTGGTGGCCCAGCATCAGACAGCCCAGAGACAGAGATTCTCAGGATAGGTGTCTTGCTGGCTACAGGAAGGCAGTGCTGTGACCTGCAACAGGCTTCAGAGGATCTCTGAGCCCCAGCCCCACTCAAGGAGGTAGCAGCCAGGGAGAAAGCAATTCAGACACCAAAATATGCAGTTTGTGAAGACAGGGGCATGTGTCTCCACCTATTAAGGACACAGGGACTTCCAGCCAGGCCTGAAGCCCCCAGGTGCTTGGAACAAAGGACGGTCCCATATGTAGAACACTGTTCTTTGTGGGCCAGCCAGTCCCAGGTCCTGGGCATACACCTGGTCCTTGTGGAGAGGGGTGCATCAAAGCTAGACCAGAAACAGGGAAGAAAGGAGAGTGCCAGAGAGAGCAGCAGGGCCCAGGAGTGTCCACCCTCAGCTGTCACTGCCAAACTGGGAAGAGGCAAAACAGCATCATCCTGGAGAAAGGGACCACAGCACAATAGAGGCCAGTTCTTGGTTTCTGGATGTCAGGTATGAGGCCTATGGTACAGAGGAGCCTCTAATCTTTAAGCAGGAGCAGAGTAGGGAGGGGCTGGACTGGCATGATCTGCAGCAGAGGCACCTCTGGCCAGGGATCTCATAGTGCATCCATGCCAGGTGGAGTCAGAGGTAGGGAAGGAACATTTTGTTTAGATGGAAAATATTCTACAATATTTCATGCACTGAGAGGTGGGGCTTTTGGAAAGCCATTGAATCATACAGGTGATAAAGCCCACTTGCTGTTGAGAGGCAGGGTCTGCTTCCAGGAGGTGGGTCCCGGGGGCTGTGGTCTAGAAGGGTGAACCTCCCTCTCTGGCTCATCCCTTCTCTCTGCTTCCTGGCCGCCATGATGTCAGCCGTTCTCCTCCACCCAAGCCCTTTCTCCTATGGTGCTTTTCTGTTTAAACCTGCTGAACTTGGACTGAAACCTCAGAAACATGAGCCAAAATAAATCTCTCCTCCTCTGAATTCCAGGTATCAGGTATTGTGCACCAGTTTTGAGAAAGCTACTAACACAGTAATTAACCCACCTGATTTTTTAGTTCATTTAACTTCAGTGAATCTCTGATAAACAAGCTGATTTTACCTTCATTAGTAAAACTACAATGAAGATGCCTTCAAAACTTAGCATAGTTTTGCCTGGGATTGCTGGCCAGGTAGGGTTATATTTACCTCTTAGATATTTAAGACCATAAAAGTACGAGTTTAACTTAATAATAACTGTGTAGATGAGACACGATGGTGTCCTGTATGTCAGACACACAAACTCAACTTCTTGGGCTTTTCCTTAACAGGAAAAAAACTTGAAATTAAGGTTGTGTTGGCCTAGTAGTTCAGTTTTCATAAGTAATCCGGGTATAATTATTAAATGCAAATTAATTATGTGAATAAAAAAGTATTTAATATAAATCAGTTTTCACGTAATATGAAATTTTAAAGTTGTATTTGCTATCACTGGTACTCATAAACTGTCCAAGTCATTTCTAAGTAAGTTAAAATACTGAAACACCTATCACTAACTGTAATTTGAAGGCTGTTAGCTTCTTAAATTCTATAGAAAAGAATTCTATACAAATAACATATGTGGATCTATTAATAAGTATATCTATGTTAGTCAGTTTTTGTGTCACTAGAAGGAGAAATTTAATTTAGCTCACATTTTAAGGGGATTTGGTCCATGTCAGCTGGTTCAAAGGCAGAAACACCAGGGTCACAAACTGTAGTGGAGCAAATCGGCTCAGCCCTGGCAACCAGGAGGCAGGGCAGGCCACCAGCACCAGAGAGGAAGGAACCTGGGACCAGACATGGACACCGAGGCCACGCCTGCCCTCCACCCACCCCCCCAGCAGACTCTAAGGCCAGTCCTGGTGACCCTCTGCCCTAACCACAAGATCCTATTCCACATTGAGAAACATGCTCCATGAGAAAGAATGTTTCTATAAATTACAAAACATGCTTTTGTAGGTGACTTCTGTATAGCAGGGAATTCATTCCTCTTGCATCTTCACCAGAGATTAAGGCTCCTGAGAGTTACAATTTCTAACTACTATGTGTAAACCTCTATGTAAAGAATACAAGGATACAAAATGTGTTTTATGATAAAAACTAGAAGAAAGCCATGCATAGCTTCTTTTACTGAGGAAAAGATCATTTGGCCTAAATCTGAAAAATTTTTACAGATTGTTTTGAAATCCAAATTTAAGAAAGGGAACACAAATGCAGAAAGAAAGCAGAAATTAGAAAGGTATATAAAGGAAGTAATAAGCATGACTCGTTTCTGTGAGAAATCTTAGAAATGGAAATTTTTCTGTGCAAGAAAGAATTTTGAAGAAGCCATAGAAAAACCGAATTTGTCCTCAGGTATACTGACCGAGGCATTCCTAGCACTTGGGAGGCTGAGGGAGGAGGATCACCATGTGTTTGAGGGCCACGTGGGCTACCTGATGAGTTCAAGGCCACACTAGCCTAACATAGTGAGACAGAGCAACTGGACCCTCTGGGAAAGCAAGAAAGAAATGCAGGTCAAAAATGCAAGTTTAAGCAGGTCACGCAGGGTCTGACCAAGTATGAGTGAAGGAAAAATCTTAGGAAACATAATTGTGTGCAAGCCCACTGATTTTATTTTATTTATTTATTTATTTATTTATTTATTTATTGTACCAGGAATCAAACTCGCAAATTCACGCTTACCAGGGAAGCACTTGAACCACTGAGCTAAATCCCTGTCCCCAACTGACTATTTAAAAGAAAATTGATTATAAGGTTTATTTTAAAAGGAGCCTTAACACACAGACATAAAATCTATGTTTAAAGCAACAAGTTTTTCTTGAACATTTAACTGTGATTAAGAAAAACCCAAGAGGTTTTGATTTTAATGTACAGTCCCTGTAACTCTTTAGCTCCCTTCCACACAGCCCATCCAGCTCTCCAGTGTCCTCAGAGTTGGTGACTGTGCCTGGCCCCAGCCAGCTCCTGGGCTTCCTCCTGATTCCGACTTTGCCATTGTGCCTAATGCTAACATGTCTGAAGGCCCTGGAGAATGCAGTTCTTTGTATTTTCTTGGTGCTTTGGAATCACGCTGTGAAAACAGACACTTCCACAGGCCCTCCTGTTGACACTCACAGGTGAGGTGACAATGCCCAATCCAACATCTGTGACATCCAAGCTCCTTCCCTCAGGTGACATGCAGGAGTCTAACCAGGCCTCCCAGGCACTCACTGTCACACGCAAGGTGCCCTGTGGCTGCTGCCCTGGGCTTAGAAACTTCAGACTTTGTAAAGACAATTTCTGGTATTGTCTATCATTTTTACAAGGTTTTCGGATACTTAGGAACATTGAGTCTTAAAAGAGTTACGTATTTGAGTCTGGGTTTGTTTTTTAAACAGCCATTTGCTTTAAATCTTTTATCTCTTTATATACCTATAAAGTAATAACTTTTATCTCTGCTTAAATGATGACTACTGTATTCCACCATGACGTGGCCATAATTTGGATCAAATGTTTTAACTTTTCAACATCTTTGGCAGACTTCCTTGAGATCAGAGTTTTAGCTTAAGTCTTTCTTGACTTTGAGATCTGGTGGACCTGGACCCAGGTCGACTTGGCAGAGATGATAAACTAATTAGATGTATTTGGTATGCTGGATTCTTCAGGAAACATCAAATCATAAATTAATGCAAAATCTGTAAGTTATATTTACATGGACACAAGGGTCTGATGGCCTGGTGTGGTACCATCAGTCACCATTGTTATTCTCAGATGCTGGATGCAATGCAAATGACCGAATTTCCTTGTCAATTGCTGAGCTCCCATTGACATTTTCATCATTCCAAGTCAGTTTCTTCCAGGTCCTGGTGAATCTGAATGACTAAAAGTAGGAAAAGAAGTACCCCCTCCAGCATGAGGGGGGAGCTCCCTACAGGAACACAGTAACTAGTGCTCAGGAGCCACTGTCCTCTTTGCATCTCCCACTCCTGAGGCTGGCATCCCACTGGATATCTGCTCAGGCTCTTGGGAGAAGTCCATATGCAGAGCTTTGGGAAGTGTTCTGCATACCTGGCCTGGGATTTTGTAGTTAACAGGTTAGATCTACTTTCCCAGCTAGTCTTAGCCAAGCCCTAGCCTCCTGCCTCACAGGCAGGCCCCAGAACTCACAAGACCACAGGTGAGCTCTAAGGTCAGCCTAGATGTGCCTTGCTACCTGTAAGAGGCTTCTAAATCTGAGGTAACTGGAGTGGAGCCTCGGTTCACGAGCCTAATTCATTCTACAATTCCACGGAAGATGGCGTTGGTCATGTTCATCACCTGATGTGAGTTCAAGAATGGAAATTAAATTTTTCAAAAGCTTCTGTTTGGGAATTGAACTGTTTGTTACTCAAATGAAGAGCCCCTATTAATTATTACTTTGGTTTTATATACAAGAATTAGAAAACTCATTTTTCCCTAGGACAAAATAACAACTCAAGGAACAGGCAATAGCTACACCTTTAGCACCCAAAACTGAAATTCTTATTAAACTATTGCCTGAAAAAATAACAAATATCTTTTTATATAATATTATTTTTTTCCATTTATGTACTTCATACATTCATGTACTTCCACATTTAAAATGCACAAGAACATACATTTGTAAGATCACCGTCAGAGGAAGACCCCAAGGAACCAGCTCTCATGAAAATTCAAGGGGTTTTATTGTCCGCGCATGCAAGGGACTCTCCAACCGCACTCAGGTGGGGAGAGGGGAGAGTGCCCGGGTAAGGGAGTGTAGAGTATATAAAGCCGAAAACCACAAAGCAAGCACTGGTTACAGAAGCAGATGGCATTGGTGTTTTGAAAACTCATATCCTGTCTGGCAGGGTTGATAGTTCACAGTGCTCTTATTTTTGGGGACGTTGGATCACAACTTCCCTATGAGGCCAGAACATCTGGTTGTTCTGACCGTGTGACAAGGCAAGAGGGGTTTCCTGAATGTTTTAACTATTCGCATTTATAATAGTACATAAACCATTATATGTTTAATCAACATTAAATTCATTACACCATGATTTCAAGTGAGTACAATAATCCACCACGTACATAAACCATTGTACCCTTTATCCCAACTTAAATCCTAAAGAATACAAACATTGTTTTCCTAACAAAGTGATCCTACTCTTTCATTCCAACATTAAACAATAGTACATAAAATCAATTTAGTCCTTATCAATATGTCTATTATCATCCAATAATCAACGTTCCTGAAACCATCAACTTGCTAGACAGGAATGCCTTCTCTCACCCCAGGTCCATAACATGCAGGAGTTTCTATCACTGAATTTAAAAGACATCTGGTTCTTACCTAAAGGCTAAGAACTCTACTTGCCCACTCATTCCTCTTAAATAAGATGTCTCAATGGACTAAATGTCTAATCAACCAATGACCAATAAAACTGTGCTTTCATCCATTTGGTATCTTTTTATTTTGGGAGATGCTGTGACTCATCATTGCCATGAAGGCATTGTGTCTGTCAGTTTAATTGTAGCTGGACTTAAAATGAATGTTCTTGACTTGCATTATATAATTTCCAGCGAATTCTTTTAATGCTTGAAGGACAAAAGTTAAACGTGTGTACACATGCGTACATGTGTCATTTCTAACAATTTATCTCTTAACAAACCCCTTACCACCTTAAAATTGTTAATTTTATTACATAAGCCAAAAACACCCATGTAATGTATGTTTTGATCTTTCCAAACCCCCAAAACAAGAATTATAAACTCAAAATAATAACATAATTTTTCTCAGAAAACTCTCCATATCATAGTAGGGTATAAACACTTTTTACCCTTATATCAGTACTAATCTTTTT